TATTTTATCTGATGTAAGTATAGGTGCTTCTGTCTGCCACTGTTTTCCTTTAGCATGGAATGTCTTTTTCTGTCTGTTCATTGTATCTATATATACTAGGGAAGGGCAGTTCCTGTGGGGAGCAAACTGTAGGATTGGGTGACTCACTGAGTTATTTATTTCTAAGATTATTGGATTTCCATGTTTTTTAATCCATTCAGACTCTGTCTTACTAGTTTTTGAAATAAATTTTCTTTTTAATTTTTATTAATATGTTTAAAAAAATAAAAGGGACAAAGGCAATGTATTCTTAACTATTTTTTAACTCAGTTTGAGCATTGTACTCCATTAATAGTTCCAGGCACTCATCTTCAATATGTATTTCTATATCACTTCATAAACAGTTGTCTTAATTCTGCTGAGTTTAAAACCAGCTTACTGTGTGATTTTTATCATGGTCTGTAGTGGTACAAATGAGAGATAGGCCCCATAGTTTCAAACATTTGGACACCTGGTCTGCAGTTGGTGATGGTGTTTGGGTGCAGTCTTACTGAAGGAAGAATGTGAAGGAAGGATTTGCTCTCTTCTGCTTTCTGTTTGCAAGATGGGAGTTTTCAGCCTATTGTATCTGCTGTCTGCTGCCATGCTGTCACCACCATGATGGACTCTAACTTTCAAGAACCACAAATCAAAATAAACTCTTTCTTCTGTAAATTGCCTTGCTCATGGTGACTTATCACAGCAACAGAAAAATGACTAACACATGGTACAGCATTTCTGCATCACCATCTCATCATCACTAACTTCTCTGGGTAGCTGGATATTCATAGCTTATTCCCAATGGCAGGGAAGAATAATTTAGGGTCAGGTGCTTATCCACCGGCACTGGGCTTGCTGAATTGTAATCTCACAGTTGTATTTTTCTAGACTTGTAATCTTGAACACTTTACATAATTAGTTTAAATATTACTCATCTCATTTATAAAATAAGAATAACCTAAGACTATTGTGATTCTTTTAAATAGAGATAATATACACAACATGTCTAGTGACTATTAAATTGATATAGTGCAACAATAGCTTGAAAACCCAGCAGGAAGGAAAAAGTTTGCATACACAGGAAAAAAAAAAATACATTTAACGTGACTGACCTCAAATAACTTTCTTACTAATAGAAACCCAATGTTATAAAATATAGCTGCTTAAAGAATTGATGGCAAACTGTTCAAATTTTGCACATTGACTACTATAACAATATTTATAAGCATAAAGGACCTGACCAATTTCTGTTTATCAAGTAATTTTTTGTTTTGTTTTTCAATACAGGGTTTTTCTGTGCAACAACCCTAGCTGTCCTGGAACTTGCTCTGTAGAGCAGGCTGGCCTTTAAGTCACAGAGAACTGCCTGCCTCTGCTTCCTGAGTGCTGGGATTAAAGGCATGTACCACCACATGGAAATCAAGTTTAAGAGCATGAATCTCTGCCAAGGATCTGCAAGGAGTTTTATTTCTACACTGTGTTATATACCAGGAGAAGGAAAGGAGATGCAATCATTAGTAGACATGTTCAAGAGTCCTGTTGCCTAATAATTCTACACAGCTTTCTGACTTTAGACCAACCTGAAGTTCATGGAAGTTCAGCACTTGACTGTTTGAGGCAGAGTGCTTTGGTGTGAATGCCTGTTATGTTACCCATTGATTCCAAGACTCAGGACTAATTGCACATTGGTTTCTTCGCTTCAACTCCAACATTTGTGAAGCAAATTACACTAGAACCTACTTCATAAAAATGAGAAAATAATTGAGGCATACAACACCACCTAGGGTACACACCTCTAATCCCAGCACTCGGGAGGCAGAGGCAGGTGAATCTCTGTGAGTTTGAGGCAAGCCTGGTCTATAAGAACTAGTTTCAGGACAGCCTCCAAAACCACAGAGAAACCATGTCTTGAAAAACAAAACAAAACAAACAAACAAAAATAAATAAAACACAACCTATAAGAAGAAAGAATCATAAAACCTGACTGATATTGTTGATTAGATACACTTTGGTTTTTAAGAAAAATGGCAAATACATCATCGACAGGGAATTAAATGGTCCTTGATGGGAAAGCAGCTAAGTTTCCATCTTCAAAACTGAGTTTCATCGTATTTTTATTATTTTACACCTGAATGTTCTTCCCTATAAATGAACCATGAAAAAGGACTTTGGAATTAAATTCTAGTATTAGTGATTCTGATTTAAAAAACAGATGCTATTTTCATTCCAGTATAAAAGGAGAAATCTTCATAATTCAACAATAAAAGCAAAACTAAAACAAACAACTAAAATGATGCTAGTAAGGGAACCCGAGACACTCTAAAATGAAGAAGATGCAATCCAGAAGCAGAAACTGATGTCTCAGTGCCCACTCTAACATGTCCTCCCAGACCTGAATATATATTTAGTATGAAGCCATCCCCCAAAAGGCTATATGTTCCTCTTCTCTGTACCTAATGCCACTGAGGTGTTAAAATTGTGTGGCAGCTATGCTGACACAATAAACATTGCATAGATTTTCAATTCCTTCTTCTAGGTCCTCCTTGCCCTATGATCCTGGTAGTGATGCTGGCAGGACCACACACAGTGCATGTAGTTTTGACAAGAGTGCAATGCACAGGTCTGGGCAAACACTCCATACAGAGCTACATTTTGTGCATCATTCTGTCTGCACTGTGGAGATGAAGGGAATCACAGCAAGACACTAAGATGGAAGATGTGAAGGAGTCAAGCAGCCAAGGTCCCTGATTTGGGACACCGCAGCACCACTTCTGGAGAGCTCACCTCCAGATTTAGTTTCTGGGAGAACTAGCATGACTAATCTGCAATGGACATGTATTGTGTGAGGCCAATCTTAATTGTAGTTTATAGCACTGTAAGAGTCTTCTTGTACCTTCCCTTATTTATACAAAATGCAGCAATAAGCAGAACACTGAAGTACATCTGGGACTCTGAGCACAGTCATCCCACGCATTTCTTTTTGACATGTACATAAGGCCATCCACCCCAAGAGGAAACTCAACCAACCAGAGTACAGGAAGCAGCCCCAATTAAGGAGGCAGATGATAGATGTTTCCTTTGGGGCAATGGAGTGGGAGGGGTTCCATAGGACTCCACTATCTATATGAAGAATAAATAAAACTCATAGATTTTTTAAAAGTATTCTTCTACTCTACCAAAGTTTGCTAATGGTCTTGTACTACTGTTGCAAAAATGAATACATCAGCTTAAATGTTAAAAATGATACAGGAGCTGAAAGTGTTATTTGCTAAAGCATTCCAAAGAATGAGTATATTTCCTATAGCAGTATTATCTACCTCTTAGAGATCTTCTACTCAGCCCTAAAAAGCAGGCCTTTAACTGCAGTGTATACGGAAAGGTTTTGTCTGGGAGATTCTTCCTTGTCCCCGTTTATATGAGTCTAACCTAGTCCTCAATGATATATTCCTTTCTGTGGAAATGACCATCCTTTTTCTAATTCCCAATATTAATTCTACAACAAGAAATGCACTATGTTTTCCACTACACTGTTGCCACTAGCGACCACATTTCATACCTCTAAGAATATATCCTCTGGAAAATAGTTTTTTCATGTACTTTGTTCCTGTTCATGTTCACTTATTCATCTGAGAACTGATCAAATATCTCCTTATGGCATGCTAAATAGTGCACATGGCAAAAGATAGATGTGACAAAAAAAAAAAAAAAAAAAAAAAAAAGGGCGGGAAATATACTCCATTCATTCAGAGAATGAGTTAACCATGAATGGACAGAGACAGCGGGACAATAGGCATGCCTAGAACAACATGATCAGCAGAAAAACATATAGGAGTTACAAGAAATAGTGCTTAATTCTTCCGGTAAAGAAGTCAGAGAAAAATAATAGCAGAAGTATGGGCTCTTAAATTCCTTTTTTTGCAAAGGTTAATAAGCAGAAGTTGGAGGAAAATTAGGGCCGGTGTGAAAGAAAGCAGGATGCCAACCACAGTATAAACTCAGTTTTGCATGACTGAAGACTTGTGATGGGAGAAAAGACTCAAGAGGCATTAGGGATAATGACAGTCACCTTCCACCCAGCATTCTGAACATAATATAATATGAGCTAGGTTGTGACGTGACTGACTGCTACAGTCAGCTGTAGTCACACTTACTGAATGTACACTGGGCAGCTGGCATTGTGCACACTCTCCAATTGACCACATCTATGACATTTACAAGTCAAACTGAGTCAGAGCTGCAATGTACTGTCTCCATGGCTCCATTTCTTCAGAAAAGAAGACTAAGCTGTGGTTTAAGCTAGCATAATGGTTTCCAGAATGTAATGTTATATTGTAAGTGTCAATATATAATCATTCTTTGGTCTGCATTGCAAATATGGTCATTCAACATTCTAAGTAGAGAACTTTTGAGGAAAAAAAATAGTTTCCCTCAAAAGGATTTCCCTGCTTAATTTGAAACAAGTCAATACTATTTTAAGTGGTGAAATGAGGACAACTTTTAGGCTCAGATGGGAAGGGAAATACTGCAGATCAAATAAAATAACACACTATTGTTCCTTACAAATATGAGAAAACTGATAGACGATGTTATTATATTTCCTCATGGGGATGAAGAAATCAGCATCACACACATGTACAAAATTACTTGGAAAAAATTAATAGTAATAAATTGTATCAGTATTTTCAGAGGTATTATAAAAGAGGGAATAGGGTTCAGTAAGGAAGTGGTTGGTAACTGACACTAATTTTCTACATTCAGGAATTTTCTAGCTTCCATATACAAGTACATTTTTTTTCTAAGTATCACATATTTGTAAGAGTTCTCTACTCTGCTTTTCTCTTTGCTAGGAAAGTTCCTATTATATTTTCTGAATCTTTGCTCCATTATTTCACCTCAGGCAGAGCCTACAGAACAGGAGACAAGAAGAGTCATTCCCAACACACCGATCAGGGTCCAGTGAAGAAAGGACATTGTTTTCATACCTTCAATAGGTTTTGGTACAAAATGAGATGAGGGCTTGGTTTTCTTCACTCTGTTCCCCTTCATGATTTGACCTTCTTTATTGAGTCCTAGAAACCATGCACGCCCTGATTCCTGCTGGCGATACAGGGTTGAAGAATAGATCACATAGTAGTTTTCAAACACAGACTCCTTAAATTTGCATTCTGGGGTAAAAACATCCTGCAGAAATAAACACAATAAAAGAGAAAGGAATTAGTAATGAATCAGCAAAAGCTGCATCCAAACTAGTCTCAAACATATCTCCAGTGTTCAGAACAAGGCACAGGAAGCTAGGCACAATTTCAGTTTGCACCCATACAGAGCGTCATTGTACGAAATCAATACTCGAGGTTCTTTTTCCAGTCAACCTTTATTCCAGAGAAAACAACTGTTCATATATGGTTACTTATGGGAGGCAAAGGCCCTGGATAGGTCTAAAATCTTAGCAGGTAAAATGTTTTATAAGTCAAAGTGTTTGGCCAGTTCTCTCTTTAGTGGCTGTTACCATGGGTTCAAAATGGTAGAACTTACCCCTAGGAACCAAAACCAAAATGCGACCACAAACAACACAGGTATACCAGATGTTTTTAAACATCTATACTTCTGTTTCTGGTGTGTAATACAATTTTATAATCAATACAATAAAATCACATCTTAATATGTCAAAGAATGAAATGTATTTTTCTAAAGATGAAATGCCTGTCTTTCTGAGATAAGCAAGAGAAAAACGTGATAGTATTTTTTCCAGCTATAAGCAAGTAATATTTATGTTTCACAAACCCAAAGGATTCTTGAGGTTCCAGGGAGCAGAATTGGATCCATTTACAGGTCAGATTCACTCCAAATAAATATTACTCAACTTCTTCCTGGCCTTGGGACTTCCTAACCTTGTCCTGGGACCCTCTTGGGGGCCCCTCCCCCACCTTACTTCTCCCATTAAGTACTTAGGACAAAAACTTAACCTTGTTCTCTGCTCTGCTAACATCTTGCCAGGTTTCAAAAAGACGCCAGCGTTCCATACAGTCAGGACTGCTATGAAACAACCAGCTACCAGGACATGGCAGCACCCCAGCTTTCTCCGATCTCCCCCAAGACGATCTAAGCCCCCAAGTCAGCAGGAAGCAGTCTCAACATCCTTATTCCCTAACCTGCCACGCCCAACCCCCACCTTTTTAATAAAAATAAGAGGTGGGAATGTTAGGAACTATCAACCAGCTGACCCCTGCCTGACGATGGGAGGGCCGCTCATGGCCATGTCATCCCTAAGTCAGCCTTACCAGGCGGCTCAAGCTTTACCTGGCTGCCAGAGGACTCAGTTAGGCATGCACAAGCCCCCCTTTTAAAGCAAGCATGCCAAGCGCCTCTCTCTGGCCTCTCTCTCTCTGGCCTCTCTCTCTGCCCCCTCTTGCTCTCTCTCTGGTCTCTCTCTCTCTGGCCTCTCTCTCTCTCTCTCTCTCTCTTTCTCTCTCTCTCTCTCTCTCTCTGGCCTCTCTCTGCCCCCCCTCCTGCTTTCGGTTGGCTACCAGCTACTCCCTTTTCTCTCCCCTCTCTAAATAAACTCCACGTGGGCGCTGAGTCTCGTGTTTGTGTTTTATAGGCATTAGCTGCATGACAAACATGATCCCCACAGAGAGTCTTGTCACTGTACACAGAGAACTTCCAAAATCATGACCACATGAAAATAAAGCTGGTAGGAACCATGTCTTTATAGATGACACTCCTGACTTCATTTAGAGAGAGATAAGAGACAAACAAGTAGGAGGCTAGTGAAGGCTGTAAGTGCTAACTAAAGGGACTCGTTTGATTTGAAATGGGTTTCATATTACTGAACAAAGAATGGGACTGAGAAAGCAGAAATGCAGTAAAATAGTAATAGTACATTAACAGTGTTTGTATTAAAACTGAAAATGAGAATTCGTAGAGTACATTTTATTCTAAGAAATTATCCTGCTAATCTTGGATATAAATGACTATAAAATACTATTTAATACAAGGGCAACAGAAACTGCACAGTTAAAAGTGTTGATAAGGATACGTGTGGGAAAAAAAAGCTGTAGCTTTCATACACTGCTGTTAGGAACACAAAATGGTGTAATAGATGAGAAAATAGCCTGACATTTTCCCAAAAGAATAAAAATACACTTAGCAAGGATCCAATGATTCTACTTCTAGTCATACACCTACAGGAAGTGAAAACATGTCCATAAGAAAATTTATACATAAATGTTAATAGTATTGATTACAGAAACAGCTTAAGAATCTATCAGCTGATGAGTAGATCAACAAAATGTGGCATAGCTGTATAACGTATTACTATTCAGTGGTAAGAGTAATGGGATTCTGATTCATATGACAATATATATGAGCCTTAAAAACATTATGCTAAGTGGAACACAAAACCATTAGGCTACATGGTGCAAATGCTAAAACTTATTTGATTCCATTTATATGAAATATTACAACAGGGTTTGTAATACTGCATATAATGAGCAAACAATTTCAGAGATGGAAAGTAACGGATGTCAAGTGCTACCACAGAGTTGGAATAAAACAGAGAATGGCTGCTTCCCTGGAGAGATGGAAATGAGTCAGAATTAAATAGTTCTGATATTTGTGTAACTTTGTAGAAATAAAATCCACTGAAAGTCTTTAAATGTGAATTTTATTGTGTGTACATTATATTCCAATAAAAAAGAATTAGAGAAACAAATTAGCTGGAGAAGGTAAGGGGAGAGAATAAAAGCATTGCTTGTTCTTACATGGCAGCACTGATCTTATGACAGCATATCCATATTTCCAACAAAGAATCAAATCATTGCAAAGTATAGATATTAAAGAAGTATAGATTCAATTAGCATAAAGTATCATTATAAGTCTTTTCAGATTTTGATACTGAGTCCTGAACCCAGGGCTGGAGTATGCTAGGCAAGTGTTCTCCTCTGAACTATATTGCCAGGCTAGTATTGGTCTGTTTTTCAAACTGATTAACCCCCTGAAGCAAGTTAATAATAAAAGCAAAGCAGCTCACTGAGCTGGTGGCTTTAGAGGCTGAAAGGGCTCTAGATAAATGGTAGAAGGGGGGAGATAGGGAAAAAGATTGTTTCACAAAATAGGAAGCCAGAGACAGAGATCCCTTCCTAAGACTACACTCTTAATTGACGTAAGGAAGTCCCACTATGCTCAACCCCTTAGTGTTCCCACTATCTTCCAGTATTGTCAATCTATAAGAAAACCAAGTTGTGGTTTTCTTATAGCATTAAGTGAAAAAGTATAGAACAAGTTTAAATTTAGCTGTTTCCTTTTAAAATTAGGCTGAGGAGTTGGGGAGAAGACTTGGTAAGTAAAATGTTATGCAATCATGAGAAACTATGATAGATCATTCAGAACCCAAATGAAGCATTGGTGTCTATAATTCAGAGACAGAGAGATTTCTGAGCCTTAATGGCCAGCCAGCTGAACTAATGAATTCTAGGTTCAGTGAGATACCCTGTCTCAAAATCTAACATGCAGATGAATGGGGAAGAAACCTACCATCAACCTCTCTCACCTCTACATACATATGCACATGCATGCAGGTGCACTCATGAATATGTATACACACACACACACACACACACACACACACACACACACACACAGGATGACCAATCAATTTAAATGCTTGTATTGCTTGATGTATCTCAGTACTAAATAAACATAGTATGATCTCTAGATGTTAAGGGGCATTGAGACTTCAGGGTACTGATTCTGCTTGGGTAATGACTTTCAGTATGACTTCTACTATGTAACTGCTATTTCAATTTTAACATCAGTGAATTTATACTGTAGTTTCTATTACATTCTTTTGTGTAATAAAAAAAATAGAAATCCTGTACTTGGCATGACTACCAATTAAGATTGTGCTTCTCGCACCATACATATTAGGTTATGAGACTTCAAACAAGTGGCTAAAAACTGAATTTCATATTTTTCAAGTGAAAAGGGAGACATTTCACCAAAGAGTTGATACAGATTGGCACTTTCAGAATGTCTGCAGCACTATGTCACATTAACCACGTGACAAAAGGATTGTGTTTTGTCACATAACAGTTTAATAAATTTTGTGAAATTGTCACATATTATTTATATGTTGTCTATCACCCAGAAAGGGATGCACAGCATATTAAAATGAAATACACTGTCATTTAAAAGGCTTTGGCCACGACTTAGACAATTACATGCATTCAGATGGATTCTGATACTATCCAGTTACTGTTCAGACTGACACCTTATCTAGTGTGTAGGGAACACAGTCTGGGAGCCAAAAGTGACAAGACCCTAGAATGCCTTGACTAATATTAAAAACAGAGCCACGGGCACTATAATAAGGAAGAATTTTCCCTCTTGAAAGTTCACATTGCAGTTTGTGAATCCTTCTTATGTCTGTGATTCTGAGCTCTTAGCTTAATGCATAAATTATAGTAAAGTTTATAGAAACATGTTTTGATGAAGCAGAACCTTCATACTGCACATCATGTATGTAGAAGAGGGTAATGCTTATGATACAACCAAGTCATTTATTTTTTAACTATTATTCATTCATTAGAGTATGAATTCCTTCAGTAGAATATGAGTTGGTTGATGGTGTTGAGAAACAAATATTTAAATGATTCAGATATCTGTGATGGACTCCTTTTCACCTCTGAACATTTCTCCAGCTTAGCCTTGTTCGCAAAATTTCAGAACATCCACCTACCTCAATCCAGATGATGAATAAATGCTGAATAATTCCCCAATTCCCTGAAGTTCACCCAGTATCCTTCCCAAGGTCATCCCATCCCATCTGGTTCCAGTCTGACCCTGTAGAAGTTTAGATTCAAATTGTGTGCTGTGCTTAGATTCCCTCTCTTGTCAAATTTATTCCTGACTCTTTTTTCTCCACTTAGTGTTCTGATCTGCATGGTCTCCGGCTTCCTAGTCTGTAGTTAACTATTTCCTTCTTGGTCACGCTTTAATTATGACAATACAAATAGATATTGGTCCAATTCAAATGCAGTGTCTTGGAAGATACAAATATCATGAAGAATAAGGAGATTCTAATGAACATATGGAAAAAATGCTTGATGCTTTCCATGGTTGTCTACACTGACATAGTTTTCATAAATGCCTGTTCCTGACCACACTGTACTTCCTAACTGAAC